GAATTCCCATTCTTTGCAATGTTGTCCATAGCATGACATGAGCCACACAACTGAGTCTGTATAATCAATAAAGCACAGTTAACCATGATCCATCTGACTGACATCAGCAATGATATCCCTGGCTCCATGTCCTCTTCTGCATCTGGCTTGAACCTCTGGACGTTGTCAATGTATGTTTGCAGCCTTTTTTGAATGATCTTTAGTAAAATTTTACTTCGTGAGATATTGATATTGTCTGATTTCTGCATTCAATTGGGTCACCTCTTTTTGGAATAGGACAAATCCATAGGAACCTCAAGCTCATCTGCACAAAATATTTACGTTCTTTTTCCTGAAACCAGCTTCTTTCCTAGACTGACTTATACTTAAGGACATGCTATTCTTCAAACATCCATTCCTGAAAATTAGGAACTAACTTGATTGTTTCCTTTCCATTGCTTGTCATCCAATATATTGGGAAATCCTCCATCTCCATCTTGACTTTAATCCCTTCCTTTCTGTTGTAGAGTTGCTACAACACTACACCAGGACCTTATTATCTATAAAATCTATGATGCTTTTATAGTTTCCTGGATGAGTTATGACTCAGATCACTTCCTGCTCCAATCAATTTTCTATATCATAAACAGAATAATTTTCCTAAAGTATAACTCTCACCTCATCACTCATTTTGGTTAAAAAAAAACAAAAACAAAAAGACCCCCCACCCTTTTTTCCCCTAATTGTCTTATAAAATAAACAACTTATTCTAGCATTCCGCCTTGCAAGATCTCAATTTGGCTCTAGCCTACCTTTTCAATCTTATCTAAATATTCTCTTATACATACTCTAAATTGGTCTACATACTGCTCTCAAAATTCATTTCTGTTAAAGTACTGTGAGATCTCTAAAAAATACGAGATTATGTATAATGTATTTGATATATAAAATGTACTCTCCATTAATATGATATGGAGCCCTGGTGTGGCGCCTTATGATAAACACCCAACCTCAAGGTCAGCAGTTCATACCCACCCCCCACCAGCTGTTACTCAGAAACTCTATTCAGGGTCGCTATGAGTTGGAACCAACTCAACAACACTTTAACAAATATATAATACACTTTTTTTGTTTTTTTTTTTACTGTGAATTATTCTGCCTTTTAAGAATTGTTTGCTCCTTTGAAAATCTACCTTTTTCTACTCTACACTATTTTCTGCAAAGTAGATCACTCTCTTAAAATAGGAAGTCAAAATTATTGAATTCTAGCTAACCTGAACTTTTTAGTTCATTCCTCAGTTAAAAAATACTACCCATTGAGAGTATTTTGATCATCATATAAATAATTTTAAAAACTTAATAGGTAAACTTTATTTTAACTAATCTCTTGGAGTTTTCCTTTTCTCTAACACTTCCATAGCTAATATCTGACTATTGGCATGCTTTCTGAAATTTTACCTCCTGAAAAGAAAATAATTAATGTGGAATGCTTCTGAAGTAATAGTGCTCTTACCTGGGGTTGGTGGAAGTGGTACTGGGCATTCTATATAAAAGTCAAAAGAAGTTCATGTCAGTTTATAAAACTGATGGAATACATTGGGCACAAGAATGGTTACCTAGGAATACACGAGCAGACAATGCACTCTCATTGGTGACCACATTTGTCACCATTAAGGGGAAGTGGGGGGGGAAAATGGCAATGAAGCTGTGAGCTAAGCCCTACAACGTTCAACAGACTCCTGTGAACCCGGGTGGAGACCTGGTTGGCCAGCAGTGTGGCAAAACCTGGAGACTCATGGGCCCAGAGTCAGTGACATAGCTACATAGCTACAGAGGACTAGAGTGGAGAGTGAAGCATCCAGCTGATAAGAAGAGAGGGCATATGCACAAGAGCGTCCACACTTGCAGATAATACCCACTTGACCTGGCTTCAATGACTGGATGATCAGAGCTCAAATAGAAGAAGAAAAAAAGAGTAATCTGATACAATTTGATGAAATTGACCTAACACCCTATGGATGCAGTAACTCAAAAGAGGGAACAAATCTTTACAGTGAGGATCATTCCCACCCCCTCCATACTCAGAGTAGACAGGGATTGGCAACTTGGACACTGGCTACCCAAAATGGGGGGCCTACAAAGGCAAGAAGTGACTGGTTTACAAGATTTCAAGAGGGAACCTAGGATCCATTAGCGAGTATTTCAAGCCCTGCAGCAGCCATTGCATTAGAGAAAGATGAGGCTGTCCATTCCTATAAAGAGGTACATTCTAAGAAACCCTGTATAGGGTCACAATGAGTCTGAATCAATTTGATGGCAGTGGTTTTTTGGATCCTTTAATGGACCTTAATGGCACTTGACTGCTAACCACAAGGTTGGCAATTCAAACCCACCAGCGGTTCCTCAGAATCCCTATACAAGGTCACTGTGGGTCAGAACTGACTTGACAGCACTCAATAACAATGGACCTTATTTTTTAATGAAAAGGTAACACGATATTTAAAAAGGGAAGCAGCCGAAACACATCAAGGTAAACTCTTGAAAAATGTCTTAGAAGACAGTTCTGAAGAATAGGATACAAAATATATAATCGACAAAAATATCTAGCTATGAATAACTAGCTAGTGTTAATACTTTTTGACGTCTTGAAATCTTTCAATCTTTTTTCTTAACCCCCACCAAATTCTTAAAAGTAGTCATAGTTCTCATTTTTGTGCATCTTCACATATTAAAATATTTTGGTCAGCTTACCTATCCACTGAAATTTTATTTTAGAACTGCTAAAAATAAGGTCAATGCATTTTTTTCTACCTAAAAAGAAAACGGCTGGCCTAGGAGCAACAGAATATTTGGAAGGAATTTAAAACTTTAAATGGTCAGGTGAAACACAGAGAAAGAAGATGAGTTAAAGATGTGACGTTTGTCTCTAGCTCTACTGAGGAAAGCTAGGCTGATACCTACTTAACAAATGTCTAGCCAATCAGCAGAAATCAGTCACAGGTGAGAGAAATGAAATATTACACATAAATACAGCAGAAAATCTTCCCTGAGTAGAACTACAAGGAGAAAACAGCTGTTTCTTGGGTAGTATTTCAGAGAGAAGTCAAAGAACCTTTAGATCTCCACAAATACTACAAGAGTCATCTGTCTAAAACAAAGATACCATATTATTCTCATTTAAGTTTGGAAATAAAGTCATTCAACAACTTTGTTCTACTTAGATTACAAATTACAAATATCTGATTAATGATTAAACTTACCCATGCAAACCATCAAGCTCAACAACTCCCAGCCTCCCCGTTAGTGTTTTACTCTTGTATGAATCACAATTGTACATGTTTTTACATTAGCATGCACTGTCATGGTAGTGTCTATATCTTCACTAGAACATAAAATGACAAGGGCTGTAGCTTGCTGCCATCAGTCTCTTCTACAGACTATCACTTATAAGGTATTTTAAAATGTTAGTTGATTTATGTAACACAAATTAAGGATTTTCCCCATACTAACCTGTTGTATTTTCAGTTTCTTGATTGTCTGTTACCACAGTTGTTCCTGGAGAGGGAAAAAAGGGATGCTATTATTGACGACTGGAAGGATCCCTGGTGGCACAGTAGGTTAAATATTGGGTTGCTAACCGAAAAGGTAAGGAGCTCTGGTAGCGTAGTGGTTACGAATCAGGATGTGAACCACAAGGTCAGCAGTTCGAAACTACCAACTGTCCCATGGGAAAAAGATGAGGCTTTCTGCTCCTAGAAAGATTTACAGCCTTGGAGACCCTGTACAGGGTCGCTATGAGTCGGAACTGACTCCACGGCACATAACCAACCAACAACCAAAACGGTTTGTGGTTTGAGCTCACCAACCACTTTCTGGGGAAACAGATGAGGCAGTCTGCATCCCGTAGGATGGAGTAGAAAAATTCCATAAAGCTTTAGAAGCCCTATGGAATTTTTCTACTCCATCCTACGGGGTTTCTATGAGTCAGCATTGAATCAATGGCATTTTTTTGTTTTTATTTCAATTTTATTTATTAGAATAAACATAGGTATATGAAGTTTCTATGTGCACACAAATTCACATTAAAGAAAATTTATTTGGGATTTCATTTGATTCATCTTATTTTACCTGGATGGGATATTTCTGGGCTTTTGACTCCAGATGAGGTAGAGCCTGCAAAAGGAGATTTAAAAAAAAAAATCCATGTCCAGTCTTAGAAGTTTCAAACTGTGTAAATGTCTTCAGAAAGGGAGCTCTCATGAAAATGAAGTAAAAAAGTCCCCCAAAAGAAAAAACACCTCATGTTCCAAAAGAAAATTTAACATCATACTGGCCTCTCTTGCTTCTTTCCTACCACCCTACTTCCGAATACTTAACTACTTATATATATTTAATGCCACATTGATCAATGAAGATTTTGTTTTGCAGTGTTCACCTGTTTGCAGTCCAGTTCCAGAGGTTTCTTTGACTCCTAAGAAAGGAACAAAAGTGGTAAGTGCAAGGGACTGGCGTAGTAAGGAGCCAACTACTCTTCTGAGATGTTATCAAGTCACGTTCATTTGTGATTATTTGACTCACCTGTGGTAGAAATTACAGACGTAGTGGTTCTTTCAGATACTCCCTTGGTGGTGCCTGAAATTAACAGAGGGAAAACAATGAACATTTTTAGGTCACAGAAAAGCATGTCTTAAGCCACCTTCAAACTGGGCAATAATCTCAAAGTACCTGGAGTATGCTGATAGATACTCTAGTCTGTACCCTCTCCCCCAATTACTGAAATATGAAAAGGTCTCTGTCTTAATACTTACTTCTTGCTCACAGAGATAAACTAAGTACTTTCCTATGATGCTGATAAATTTCTCACTTCTGGGATCCCTTCTCTTAAATACCAAGAACATTTCTCACATGAATTCTTTACTTCCTGAAACTTAGTTTCCTGGCTTTTCCTTATCAATTTTCAGGAGAGAGAAATTATATTATTTAAAGAAAATGAAAAAAAAAAGCAAAACAAAACTGTAAACGGAGTTCTAATTCATAGAGATAAATGTATGCTATCTGAAATACTTTGGTGTTAATTGGGAGATGATTGTTGAGTATATAAATTTCTTTGCATCTGCCATTTATATTACCTGCGTTAGAGTTTTCAGACATACCACTTGATACTACTGGGGTTCCTGCAAAGACAAATGAGGAATGTCTCATAGTAGTCATTTTTGCCTATCTGTAGATATCAAGAATGGAAAGATAAAGTAAATAATACGAAAGTTGGCATCAGAGTTAGACTTGTAGCTGGCCCCAAGATCCACCTTTGTGAATTAGAAAAAGACATCTTCTCTGGACAGAAGAGGTCTTATGGATTTATGCCATGTTGGAGCAATGTTAGCTGGATTTAAGCTCCTACCCTCCTTTCCTCTTCAGCAGTGTACCCGTGTGTAACTTCACAGCTTTACCCAAGGACTGTGGTCTCAGAAACCCAGAGCAAGAAGACAAAAGTTAGAAGAAAAACTAAGGGAATCACAGTCTCTAATACAATTCTACCCTGTGTCTCAGGGGTTTATCTCCAGGGTTTATCTTCTCCTCCCATATTGTTAGGATCAAGTCATATATGAAGAACTAGAATATTTGAACCACTGATTCTCCCTTGTTTGCATTTTAACCACTTGCCAAATATTTACTGCCTGTGTTGAAACTTCTTTACTGTGTTGGAACTTATTTACAGGTACCACTGGGACAGTGGTACCTGTAAATAAGAGATCAAGATATACCTTAAAAGGTCTTTCCCCTCCTAAGTGCAGTATCAGCAATATTCCCTGTTTCTCAGAAGCAACAGAAAATTTAGTATTGTTTTCTTGTACCAAATGTTAAGTTTGGTATTGTTTCCAATGTGCCTTGTCACAAGAGTATGTTTAAAACATATTGGTTAAAAAAAACCTTGCAATTCACAGTTCTCACTGCTTTACAGTGTGATTATTAAGTGAGAGCATCTTTTTTCTTACATTCACATGATTTACAATGACTAGGATCCCTATTTCTACAGTAGAAGAAAACCAGAAGAAATCAATCCTAAACTTGTAATCAAGAATTAGGTATCAGTCAAAGTTTTTCATTAAGTAGCAAATTTGCTTGCATCTCTAGGTCAGTCATCTATACTCACCTTCTTGGTTACTGGTGACTCCCACTGATGCTGGTGGTGTAGTAGCTGGTGGTGTAGTACCTGACAAAGCAAAGAGGACGGTTCCAAGACAAATATACATCTAAAGAATTAAATCTCTATAATGTTTTCACTAAGAAAATACAGGAAACTGATGTAGATTGACCTCAAGAAATGGAAAAAATGCCTTTCTATGATCATTTTAACTTATCCCTCTTCTCCTCAAATCCTGTGTTTATTTCAGTCATTTTTCATTTATGTTAGTGAAAACATGTTGCTTCCTGCTGCATTGACCTGGTATGACAGTGGTTCCTGCAAAGTCAAGCCCATAAATATTTTACAAAGAGATTCTTATGCTCACTGAGGAGAACAGAGAAACCACATCCTAACAGAGATGCATCTGAACTCTATCTTGAGTTCTGGAATAACAGTATAACACTGTTGTTGTTTTCTGTTGTTAAATGCTGTCGAGCATTTAACCCTCTATAGGGTTAAAAACATTTAACCCTCTATAGGGTTTCCCAGGAGTGACTGGTGAGCTTGAACCACTGACCTTGTAGTACAAACGTCTTTGCAGTCTGGTGCATTAACCTACAGCACCACACTAGCCACATTTATTCATTCAAAGGAATGGGACTTGGAATGAAAAGCATAATCCTTTTCTTTCAGAAGTAAAATCACACTAGTAATCAATGAAATCCCAACCATTCTGCAGTGTCATGACTGACCAGTGTGTACTCCACTTCCAGTGGTGTCACTGCTTAGTCCTGAAGTCATAGCCTCTGGAAATAATAGTTGTAAAGAAGTTTCCTTGTTTATGGACTAGTTAGTCCCTCTTGCAGTTTCTATGGGCAGCTATGGTATGAGACGCTATACCAGTAAAATTAAAAATGAAAAAGAGAGGAACAGATATGCACACACCCTACTTTCAGAAATCATAACAATTCTTTTACTACAAAGAATAACATGGATTTCGAGAAATACACATGCTTTCCTAAGCAACAAGTATATAGCACTTTTTCCAACAGATTGTTTCATTCCCCCAAAACAATGTATGTAAATGTTTCATTCTGGCGCTCTGTATGACTTAAGGAGTCCTGGTGTGGTGCTGTGGGCTAATGCATCAGATTGCAAAGTCATTTGAATTGCAAAGTCAGTGGTTCAAGCTCACTAGATGTTCCTTGGAAACCCTATACACGGTCACTGTGAGTTGGAATCCACTCGATGGCACTTAGCAACAACAACAATATGACTTAAGACTTGGAAAGAAGTGCTTTTTTTGCTCACCTGTTTTACTTCCTGTGATGTGACTCCCTGGTGCTTCAGTAAGGACTCCTGTGGAGAAGGGGTATGTTGTTGTTAAGTGCAGTCGAGTCGGTTCCGACCCATAGAGACCCTGTACAGGGTTTCCGAGGCTGTAAATCTTTCCCGGAGCAGAAAGCCTCATCTTTCTCCCATGGAGCAGCTGGTAGTTTCGAACTGCTGACCTTCCGGTTCACAGCCCGATTCGTAACCACTACGCTAGGTATACATAAGGGAAATTTTAAATCTATTGGGACCTAAATCAAGAAGAAAATTCCATAAGAATGAGTTTCATATTCAAAGAAAAGTCCAAGATGGATTATTCAACGACTCTACTAACCAGGACTAGAATTTTATCGTACCCTGGGAATTCCAGTTGACCTTGATGTTGTATCCACAAAGGTAAGATGGATAAAGAATTTAAAGAATTTAAAGTCTTGCAATCTCTTTAGTTTCATAAAATTGCATTTAAAAAGGGTACGGGAAAAATCAGTTTGAAGAGCAAGAGCCCAAACCTGATTAACTGAATATATCATCTCTTTAAATGTTGAGAACCAAAAATCTGAAACAACTAACCACTCACCAGTTGCTGTTTCAGCTCCAGTGTTAGCTTTGATTTCGGAAGAAGTTGTAGACTCTGAAAAAAAATACAAAAAAATACTTTATATAATGCATAAATTCTGGGGAAGAAAATATAACTATTCATGTATTATTCCCATAGGAAACATTGGGTTCCCTAAAGTTCATACAGGTAGGCTTCTATATCATCTTAATGACTCACTTGTGCTAGAACTCCTCCCAGGTTCAATGGCTGTGTGAGGGGTTACCCCAGTGGTAACTGAAATTACAAAAAGAGGAGTTCAATTCATTTCATGCATCATGAATCAGTTCATGAATTCCCTTTTACTTAAAACAGGATTTGGTCTAAAACAATTTCTCTGATGAATTAAAAGGTTTATGTCAGGAATTCTCTTGCTTTAAGTGGCACATCAAGTTTGGTTTCTATGTTTATTATTTTACAAACATAGAAAGGATTTCACGTGGTTTATCATTCCTACAATTGGGCTTCTTCCTTCCTTCCTTTCTTTTTTTGTCCTGAAGAGATTTAAATAGAGAAGAATTCCCCTTTAGTTCATTGTAACCAATGTGATTTACTATAGTTTGATTGCTAGTGCTCACCTAATTCAATTCCAGCTTTGGTGGACCCACCACTTCTTGAAGATGTTGTGGCCTCTAAGTGAAGGAAGAAAAGAAGACAGGAAAATGAAGATGAATAATGGAACTCAGACAAATTTGATGGAATCCACAGAATATAAGGAATGTTTGGGGATGTGAGAGGAAACCAATGATCGTATTTATTTACCTGTGTGTGAACTTCCAGTTGCAACTGTTGTACCAGAGACTACCCCACTGGTGCCTGAAGTAGAAAAGAGAGAGAGATGCAATGGTGATGCCAATAACAACACGGTAACGTTAAAGAAGCAGAAGGTCCTTCTTGTGACTATCTTGTGAGTTCTCCATATTTGTGATGCAATTCAAGACCAATGTAAATATATTGGCTTGAGGTCTATACTGGATGATCTGCCACCCTAAGGTTAAATATCATCAGTTTCAGGGCCTTTCCTATGTTTACCTGTTTCACTTCTAGGACTTTGCTTCTCAAATGTTCCAGTGGTAGATCCTAATACGAAGAAAATAGAAATAGTATTTTTGTAAATATATTCAAACTGTATTTAATGAGTAAAATCATAACATATGAAGTCCAAACATGATAGATTAAAACTTTTAGGGTTATTTCTATCATCTCTGTTTTTCTGAATATAACTATCTGGAAATATGAGGGGAGCTTCAAAAAATTCATGGAAAATTCTATTTTTCAATTATGTTTTCACACAAGCTTTTCAAAGTCCCTCATAGTGTCTCCATATGACATTAGGAAAATAGCTTGAATGTCAAAGAGAAACCTTTCTGGACTTGCCTTGTCAAAACTATAGTACAAGCTTTGCCCAAAAGGAAACTATAGATTTTTAGACACCTGATATGGTGCTGTGAGAGCTAATGCATCAGATATCAAAGTCGTTTGAACTGCAAGGTCAGTGGTTCAAGCTTACCAGCTGCTCTTTGGAAACCCTATACAGGTCGCTATGACACAAAATCAACTTAATGGCATTTAACATCAATAACAGCCACAAACACAGATGGTTAAATATATATATATGGCTGTCTGAGATAAGACAACCCTCCCTGCCTGCCAAAAGAAAAAGTTGAAACACTGTGTTTAGCTTTCCCTAGCACATGCTTTCATGAAGAGGCAAAGACAGAGTATAAATTAGTAGAACTCAAGAATTACCAATTGTAGTTTTATTCATTATGCTTCCTTTTATAGCAGTAGTAGATTTTGAGGGTAGAAAAGAAGAGAGAGGTGGGGGCTAAAGGAAGCCACAGAAAGTCATTGTACTACGACACCAGAGCTGACCCCAAGAGAAAAATACAACCACATGTTTCCTCACTGACTCACCTGCATTAGAATTTCCAGGTGAGCTGGTGATCCCAGGAACTATTCTAGTGCCTAAAATCAAAATTTTAGCATATCATTAATCCATTTCATTCCCTTCATGAGAAGGATATATTATAGAATATAATGGGGAATCTAACAGAATTCTTTGACGTGAACACACCATCCATTTTCAGGATATCTTTTTACAGAAAAAATATTTTTTCTAATGTAATTAATCATTTGCAATATAAATTCTGTAGTGAAGAGAAGAGATAGTCTCAATGATAAAATTTCTTTCCCTGGGCTAAATGTTATAGAGAAAAAGGTATTTTCTTTTACTTGGCTGCCTGAAAAAAGCAACAAGAGAAACAAACAAACAAAAAAAACTTGTCCATACAATTTTTATTTGGATAAAGTATTAACATTATGAAACTTTAAATGTTCTAGAAATGTTTAGCTATGTGCCAAGAAAATTTGGCAGTGTATGTAGAGGTATTTAGTAATAGTTTCATGGTTAAGCTAAACAAACTTTGGAGCCAGACTACTTAAATTGGGAATCGGTTATTTGTTTGATGTGTGACCCTGGACAAGTTAATATCACTGAGCTATACATTTTATCAAATGTAAACATTGTGATAAAATAGAATATACATCAAAGCTTGGAAGAAGGAATAAAATAATATGAATACTATAGAGTAGTGCTTGGCACATAGTAAATGCTAGGAAATAGTAGTTATCATTACTACTGTTACAAGTGGAAAGGGAGCAGGTTAGGAAGCTTGAGTAAATGCTAGGAAATAGTAGTTATCATTACTACTGTTACAAGTGGAAAGGGAGCAGGTTAGGAAGCTTGAGTGTTCACCTGTATTTGTTCCAGCTCCTGTGGTTCCACTGCCTCCAGAGAAAGTTGTAGATTCTAAAAGAGGGCAGGTGGAAAATGTGAGAGAAGAATTCTGAATAAAGTTACAGACGTACTTTTTCTGGATAATAATACATGATATATGCAACGACTAGAGATCTTCTTGCATTGATTTAGTCAACAACTACAGGTTGCTCTTTTCAGCTGGTTGCCTCACCTGTGTTTGAACTCCTCAGTTCAAATGTGGTGCCAGAAGCTATCCGAGTGGTGCCTGCAACAAGAAGGGAAGTAGTGATTCTTCTTTAATGAAGACAGCTAAGTTGACAGGGAATCTACTTGTATCTTGGGCTGTTTCAACCACATGGTAAGTTATTTTTGTTTATGCATCATTTTACTTGAAAATCAAAGATGTAAATGAGTCAATCTTGGAGTCCCTTTTTCTGGCTATAAAATAAGGATTATTTGGTTCCCCCTTGTTCCCCCCTGTCCTCTTCTTGCCATATCCACCTGACTGTCCAGTGGTAGCTTCTAAGAGGGTGAATGCAAGAAAACTTTTGAGAGTACGAATAGACTTGAGTCATTGGGGTCATCACGATACATTTCACTCTAATACACTGAGGTAAAAATACATTCTAGTCACATTTTCTGTGTTCATTTGGCCTTATGTTTACCTGGAAAAGAACCTTCTGGGAGTGAAGCTTCTTCACCTAATATTGTAGTGATACCTAAAATGACGAATAGGAAAAGAAAGCTTTTTACACAATTGTCACTTCCACTCTCATTCTCAGAAACCTAAAAGAACCAACACATCTGTGTTGGAAAACGTGCAGCCAAAGTGCTCCTTGGAGACCAGGATGGCCAAACTTTCTCTCTCATACTTCAGACATATTATCAGGAGGGACCAGTCGCTGGAGAAGGATATCATGTTTGGTAGGGTGGAGGGTCAGAGAAAAAGAGGAAGACCTCCAGCAAGATGGATTGGCAAAGTGGCAGCATCAATGGGCTCAAGCATGACAACTATAGTGAGGTTGGCTCAGGATCAGGCAGCATTTAGTTCTGCCTCAATGGCACCTAACAACAACATATGTGAGCTGGGCCCTGGAACCGGAGGACCTCAAAACTCTGCCTGACGTGATTGTAAATCACTGATGATGGTGGTGGTAGTGGTGATTGTGTACCATGGAGTTGGTTCTGACTCATAGTGAAACTACATAGCGTTTCCAAGGCTGTAAATATTTACAGGAGCAGAAAGTCTCATCTTTCTCCCATGGAGCATCTGGTCCTTGCAAACTGCTGACTGTGAGATCAGCCCAACTTGTCACCACTACATAAAAACAATGAGGGTTTTAGGGTATACCCTTTGGTTGGTTGATGATGCATGGAGGGGATTGGAATGAATGTAAAACTAAAGTTCTCTCATGTAAAATATCATATAATTCACAATAAAACATGAAAAACAAAACAAAACAATGAGGGTTTCTAAAATCTCAATATACTATAAGAAAAAGTGTAATTGAAGTTAATCATTATCCAAAACATACACACACACTAATTCTCACCTGTTTTCCATTCCACTTGAGTGGTTTTACTGCCTCCTGTGGATATTGTGGTTTCTGAAAGAAGGAAAAAATCAGGTAAAGAATGAGGCTTTAGAAAGAAGAGAACATATACTCTGCAAAAAATACTGTGTATGAGTAGAGCTATGTGGAAGACATTTTTGTTGTGTTATTTCCAGAAAGGATGTGCCCTTCACAGTTAGTGAATTTACCTGCACTTGAACTTCCAGGTACAATACTTGAGGCCACACCAGTGGTGCCTAAGATGAGAAGGCCATGGAAGCTTCTGTACTGAAGTAATTTGGGTAAAAAAGAAATCTGAATTTCCAGAGCCCCACCATTCGGCGATGTATTGTGCACTGGAAAGTTCCAGGCATCACCATTCCTAGATTCATTTGTCTACTTCAGTCTTATGAGCATCATCATCTACGCTCTTGGGTTGAAGCATATATTTTTTATGATTATGAATTATGTCATTATTTATTGAGCAGCAGGGATTTGTTTGTGAACAAAATACATGAAAATTCTTTTCTCAAATAGCCTATCTTCCAATAGGCTTACTTAGATAATATAAATCTAAAGCCCTCAAACTGGATGCAGAAACTTTTTCACCATATTTAAACCCTTTACATGGTTGTGGTGAATTGGAACCAACTCAACAGTACTTAACAACAACCACCTATACTATTAAGTGGATTAATTTCCCAAGGTGTTATTTCTGCTACTTCTCTTCTCTAGAAATCTAACCAAGGATGTATGCAAATCAACATGATTGACCCATGGTATGGGCTAGAGGAGCTACTCTTCAAGTACAATAATCTTTCTGATCCAGATGCAAAACCATAATGGTACTTGTTACAGGTTGTATTGTATTCTCTAGAAGACATATTGAAGTTCTAACCCACAATACCTGTGAATGTGGCCTAACAGGGTCTTTGAAATTAACATGAAGTCATACATGAGTAGAGTTGGCCCTAATTCAATAGGACCAATGACCTTATAGAAAGAGAAGAGACACAGGCAGAAGACAAAGGCAGAAATTGGAGTGATGAATCTATAATCCTAGAACACAAGGATTATTAGGAACCACTCGAAACTAACAAGGGGCATAGAATGATCATCCCCTAGAGATATCAAAGTCTCTGCTAAAAATTGAATTTGGCCTTCTGGCTTCCAAAACTATGAGAGAACATATTTTGTTGTTTTAAGCCACCTGCTTTGTGGTACTCCATTATAGCAGCCCTAGGAAACAATTACAGGTGCACTATTCAATGGCAGTGTTAACAGCTGGGGCTCCTACTTCTCACTGATTGCTAATCAGACTCTGTCTTCTAGAGAAACAATGCAGAGAGTAAAAAGGGCAGTCTTTCGGAATATATATTTTTCTCTGAGGTTAGAAAAGGGAAGAGTTGCTTTGGAATAAATTCACTTACTTGTGCTGGAGCGTCCAGGTGCAATAGTTGTTCCAGAGATGACGTCATTGGTGCCTGAAATCACAAAAAGAAAGGGACTGGAGATGTCAGTTTACTGATATTAAAAAAGTATAAGAAAAACAATTTAACTCTCTTGAGTTATAGAAGGCTTATTCCACGGTTACTTAAATACCTTCTCATTAAGTATATTACTTTCCCAAAAAATATACAGGGTCAAAGTTCTCGTGATAGAGGTCTCTTTATTTTGAATATTGATTAACTATCAGAAATATTAATATTTTCTCACACTCACCTGTTTGGCTGCTAGAGATATAGCTTCCTGGTGCAGTGGTCTCAGCTCCTGAAAAGAAGGGAGAAAATATACTCTTGTGTGTAAACTTGGGGGAGTGGGGTGGTCAGAAAAAGATTTCAAAGGGCAGAGAGGTTTCTGCATTTACTTCTGCCAATTTAACTTACTATAAGGATTCACAGATTTTCAATACTGAAAACCTATTGGTATTTCAATATTCAGATGTATTCAGATACTTAAAATAGAAGTCTTTGAGTCAATCTAATATTTTTACCTGGGAACATAATCCTGCCCAGTTGTGCGCCATCCTCACATTTCTTGTGCTTAAGCCCATTGCTGGCACTATGTAAATTCACTTCATTGAGTGACTTCCTCTTTCAGGCAGTACCTCCATTTTTCCAAACATGATGCCCTAA